AGCAATTTTTTGGGGCAACCTTTGCCAGTGCCTAATCGCCCTCACTGAAATATTTTTTCTTATCCCCAGGTGGGATTTCCCTTGATGTAGCTCATGACTGTTGCCTTCTGTCCTTTCACCATACACTTGCGTCTTGTCTCTAACTAATACTTAATTTAAGATGGCAATTAAATTCCCCCCCAGCCTTCTGTTATGAAACAATGCCTCACTCAGTCTCTCCTCATCTGTTGTGCTTCAGCTCCCTGGTCAGGTTAGTGGTCTTCCACTGGCCTTTCTCCAGCATATCCATCCCTCTTGGGAACTGGGGTGTTCAAAACTAAACAGTGTGTTCCAGATGCAGCCCCATGAGCACTGAGTAGACTAATTGCTTCCCTTGACCCCTTGGCTGATTCTTGCTACTACAGCCCAGTATTACAGTAATTTGTTGCTGCAAGGGTAGGCTGCTAACTCATATTTAATTTCTGCTTTACAAGCACTCTTGTGGCATAGAATCATAGAATGGTTTGGGTTGGAAGGGACCTTTAAAGGTCATCTAGTCCAACAGAATTACACTGAGTCCCAGTCCAAATTTCAGGACTTTGCTTTTGGCTTTTGTTGATTTTCATGCATTTGACAGCTGTTACTCCATTCTTCTGGCTTATCAAGGCCTCTGTGAAGGACAGCCCTGCTCTCCAGCATATCCACCACTCCCCCAGGTTTGATATCATATGCAAACTTGCTGAGAGAGTCCTGCACCCTTGTCTGAGTCTTTGAAGATAACACTAAATAGTGTCGGTGAGATGCTCTGTCAAATTCCTTTTTCAAGACAAATTTGCTTTAAAAAAAAAAAAATTTAGTACGGTGGAATTACATCAACTATGGAACATTAATTCACATGAAAATGTCTATGGTTACATGTCAGTATTGTCTGCTTGGAATCAGTAAAATAATATTGAAGACATGCTATTGCATGCATGGTGTTTCTGTCCATTCTTTCATATGAAGAGACTGATGATTTTTCTAGGAACTCAAAATATATGAAAAAAATCTCAACTGGAGAACAAGGGTTTGTCTATGCAGGAAACCATTTTCCGGGTTGGGATTGAGGTTAGGAAACAGCCTTGAACAATGTTGAAGTTCCTTTGAGTTTTTGGTTCCTCATCACCCACTAATCACTCAAATTATTAAAGCACTATCAGACTTCAGCTGAATTTATAACATATTAGGAGATTCTACAGCTTTGAAAATTATATTTTTTTCCTTTTAAAAAATTGCTTGTGATTTTATCACTTTGAATAAAAAATTACAATGCAAATATGTAATTGTATGAATTTAACATGCTGAATTTATTGTTTCACCTAGAAAAGGCTTTTTTTCTTAATTGCACCTAATTTTAAACCCAGGTGCTTGATAGTAATGGAGCTGCATTTGTTTGAAATTTTAAGGATGAGGGGGTGGAGGGTGGGGCTGCAGTAATGACTAGTGAGAAAGACCCCACCTGGTTCCTGGTGAGTACCAGTAGAACTTCCACCTCACTTTTCAGAGAAACTTTAAGAAGCAACTGACACTCCAAGGCCCAGTTTCCTGCCTAAAACACTTTGTTGTTGATCAGTGTCTCTAGCATGACTTTGATGTACTCAGCTGTGACAGGGAGGTTGTGAATGTAAAAGCAGTGTTAACGTATGCTGGGAACTGTGTCTAACCCCTGAGCAGCTGCACAGTTGGGCAGGAAGTTGTCGTGCCACAAAAATGGCTCATTTGGGTAGAAAATTAGGGAATGGGCACTAATGATGCCTTACAACTGAATGTCTGCTTTCAAGTTCTGAACTAGTTCACAGGGATTCTTTTTTCTGGTGGAGGGTGAAGCAAAAGTTTCAGCTCACTTAATTGTCTAATATGCTTTTTTACACCTTTCTCACCTGAAAGGTTGATTTCAGTGTACACTGAAGGAAAAAAAAACCTAAAAAAAAAGGCTTCTCTGGCTAGGGCTGAATTTTCCACTCATAGAAAGATGAATAATCCCACAGAATTCCACCGTTTTGTGTGAATTTGAAAATATTGTTGTACAAGACAAAACAAGCAACAGGAATTACGACTCAAATTCTTCTCAAGCTAGAGCAAGATAAGTGTGTGTAATTAAGCAAATACTTAAATTCCTCTTAAATTTCTCTTAAATTATATTTCTCATAAGTTGAGAGAATTGGAGAACACCAACAGAAACTGTTACTGACATATTTTTTTACAAGCTCCCTGAAATTTTGTTGTATGTATACTGCCAAAATGTTACCTCTTTGTGCTACTTCATGAGAATTTCCTGAAGTTTAAAACTTCAACTTTCAAACATTTCAACTTTCCCAAAACTTCCACTTTCAAACAAGGCACTTTCAACATTGATGACAGAAGTCATGTATCCCATCAGACCAAGTAGTTGGAATTGCTCAGTCCATCTTAAAACCGTGTGTTAGGGGATAAAGTTGGAATTTTTTCCTTGTCATGGTTTTCTCTGCAGAGTGGATAAAAGACCTGGGGAGAGGTAGCATCTCTGCAGCACCTCATGCTCACATGCGAGGGTCTCCTTTCTTGCAGGGTCTGGAAAGCAGCTCAGTTCTGTCCATCTTCTGAGGTTGTACTAAGACGTTGCAGCAAGTTTCTAGCCAGTTTTGCATTTTATATGTTAGATTTTCTTGTTTTTTACTACTTTTGCCTTAAAAAAAAAAAAAAGAAATCTTGTTAAAACACTGTTTCAGTGGAACTTTGAAATTGTAAAGAGTCATGTTTAGAAGAGGTCAATAAATTATTCCATCAGGGTTCTTTGTGCAATGTTGGCCCTGCCTGCTTGTGGGTAGGTGTTTGAGGTATGATACAAAAGGTTACAGCAGTGCTCTTCTTCAACTAATAAAGCCCAAAATACATTTCCAAGACATGTGTGGACTCAGATGTACACTATGTACTACTATACATGAATCAGAGTTAGGATCCACAGCCAAAATGAAGAAAAAACAAAAAAAAAGCACGTAACCCACCTACTGTTCATCATGTGCAAACACACTGAAAAATGTTGGGACTTGCTCACCTATATGTTCATCTTTGCTAACTTCACAGGGAATTGTATCACCCATTAATTTTGAAGAAGGTAATAATTTTAGTTGAATGTGAAACTAATGCTTAATGGCTGCTTCTAAGTGAGTCATTAAAATGCACAGCTTTTTGTCAGAAGTATGTACTAAACATTTGTGCTATGTCATAATGTAAACATTCAGAATAGCTTAAAATTTCTATCTTGTATCAAAAAATGTAGACTTTCTTAATAGTTTTCATATGTCTAAGGTAGGTAACAAAATTATATGCTACAGTACATTACAAAGATATGACCAAATCGGATGAAATTATATGTAAAAAATTATTATGACTGTATAAGGAGCAAACTTTAATTTTGTAGTTGAGTGTTCCCATCTGCAATCTCAATATTGTTTCATTATTTTGTATGATGAAGTTAATTGGATCTTTGATTATTTACAAATTCTTCTGAGGTCTTTTTCTAAATTTAAATATTGAAAAACCGCATATTTTCAAAACCATTTAATTTTTTGCAAGATAAGACATTTTAATGACGTTTCAAGTTACTGTCCTTTGAGCTTTGTATTCACTTTCACTTTTTATGCATGCACCTCTTTCTTAAAACCTTAACTTTATTATTTTGATAATCT